GGCAGAGAGAGAGAGAGGAAGAGAGAATCCGAAGCAGGCTCCAAGCTTTCAGCGCAGAGCCCTATGGCAGAACCCAAGGCGGGGCTCGATTCTATGACCATGAGATCATGACCTGGGCCAAAATCAAAATCAAGAATCTGATGCTCCACTGACTGAGCCCCCCGGGTGCCCCTCAATACTCTGTTTTAGAAGCATTGAGTTTGAAATACCTTCACTCCTCACTCAGTTGGGGGTGTCGAGTAGGCAGTGGATGAGCAAGTCTGGGATATGAGGACACATCAGGGCTAAAGAGTAAATTTCATTCAGCAATTATTTATCATCTGTATGATAACACATCACTGGGGTGAGAGGTGATGCTGTGAATTTCCCATTCATTTCCAAGGACTTTGCATATGGTTTTCAGGAATGTCAGATGTTTAGGGTATAACATTGTTAAAATCTTGAAAGATTGGCAGATGGATACAGATGTTAGCCAGACGAATACAGATGTTAGAGAGGCGAGTTAGCCAGATGGATGTTCATTAACTATCTTTGAGGGCAATAAGCAACTATCTGGGAAGTGATCCAAATGGGGAAAAGCAGACAACATTGGATATAGTTTTGTGCTCAGCTGTTTTGTGTTTCAGTTTTGTAAGGATGAGGAGATGTTGTATACACTGGGAGGGATATCCCTCTATTAGCTCTTAAAAGGGAATACATTCTTCCTGTTGTTTTCTGTTCTTTTGAGAGGACTTCTCTACTTTTGGGGGTGGGGGGAATGTATTAGCGTTTGTGTTGCTTTGGCACTTTTCCAGATTCTTTCCTTTTCCTGATTGCTGTTGTAAAGTGAATTTTTTTTTTTTCCGTAAGACTAAAAACAATGTGACAAAGGAATGGAAAGCATGGCTTCTCTTCCTGGCCTTCAGGTCAGTTTCTCAAGCACTGGATATCTAAATCCCTTTATAATGTCAGAGATGATCTCACTACCAGGTATGGTTTAGCCTGTGGGACTTGATGCTTGAGTTCTTTCTGCCAGTGGCTAGCTGCTGACCTGAGAATAGTTATTTGACATCTCTGTGCCTCAGTTTCCTAAATGAGAAGGCGTGGTTTAGTATATTTCCTTTTGCTTTTCTATTCTATGACACAGTTGTTCTTGGTAAGCAATCTGGATACACCTACGAGAATAGATCTATAACTTTGAAATATAGGTGGTTATCTTATCTCACTCTTTCACTTCCAATGTCCCTCTTTCACTTAAGTTCCTACTCTATTACTCTCTGAAAATTGGAAAGATATTGTATTAAAGAGTATTACATAGCTCTTTTAAGCGTTGGAAGTCCAACTAACGTGCAATATATTATTCTGTAGAAAGTATTTGTATGTGCCACATGACGGTTAGGGCATTCTATCAAAGCGTCTATTTCTAAAGGTAATGGCAAAATCCTTCTTCCAAGTTGAAATATTTAAGCTTGGTAGATTCATAATAGGGATTTTAAAACAGTGTATAAGAAAGTTTCTAATTGTTCAACATTTGAACATGTGGTTTCTACAGAGGGAGAATTTGGGGGAAGGTATGTTATAAGATGAAATCTTATAGTGTTAGAGATTAAAGTGCTAAGATTCACAGTCCAAAAGAAAAGAAACACAGGGTGAGAATAGTGAGTAGATTTAAGGTGAGAAGACTTTCATAAACATCCGAGTTGTTATTACTCTTAGGCCATAGGATGTTTCCCTAAAAAACACTGATATCTACTGAGCTGTATGAATTCTACCAATTAATACAAAACTATTTCAAAAATTTCTAAGAAAACCATTTTCAGATTTACAGAATTCAGGGATCCGGTTCTGTTGGTTCTCTGTACAGAATACTTTGCCATGCTCAATGAAAGGGTGTTTGTATTTGCTACCAGTCCTAAATGAAGATGTAGGTTATTACTAAAACTATTAGACATGCCTGAATACAAGATGACCTAAGTGGAAGCCATACGGTCTTTTATGACCTAGTCTCAGAAGTCAAATATAGTGTCACTTTCTGCCATGCTGTATTGGTAAGAGCAGTTAGAAACCACCTGGATTTAAGATGAAGAAACATAGACTTTACCTCTCAACGGGAGGAGTGTCCAAAAGTTGCAGGAATGTTGTAAAACCACCACAGAAACAAGCATGGGATAGCCATGGACTGGAAAACCATGCAGCTAGGAAAGAAATGAGGAAACTCTCCATTCCATTATGGGAAGATTGCTGTGATATACAGTGGCTATACCCTCTATTGGCTATAATGAGGAACTTTCTCTCCTGGATTAACTTCTGGCTTTCATTAGCAATCTCTGTATTTTGAAATGAAATTTAGTTAACCCATGGGGTAAAGATATCTGAACACTAGAATTTAAGGGACTTATTCACTAAATATCTTTATACACTTAGTGTATGCTTAAAAAATAAGTACTGGTTTTAGGAGGTTCATCTCACTCCAAATATGTGTCTGATTTTTTGCGTAGGTTTACGGAGAATGAATCAGGTCAGGAAACAAATCACATTTTTTGAAATACAAGTCAGCACAGACACTGTAGTTGATCAAGTGGAGGAAGCAAATGTGGCTTATTCACTGTCAATACTTGAAGAGAGCACTAGTACCACGGACGAGAGGCATTAATAGAATGAGGCAGGAATATTGCCTTAAGAGAAACAGAGAAATCAGGGCAAAAAGCTTTTGTCGTCCAGGAATTGGTCATTGGCAGGTCACTGGGCACTTCTTGCCAGCACCTCCAGTTAGGAGGCAGTGTTCTGACACAGTCCGAACGCCTGAGACCACGGAGGGAGAGGAAAACGACAGATTAATAGCTCGTAGTGGAATTCAGTACACATCATCAGCTGCTGTAGAAGAAGGCCTGGTTTGTCGTTGCCTGGGGCCTGCCGTGGGCACCACATAAACTCTTACAAGCAATGCTGGAGGCATTGGGATGCAGATTGATCTTGGTTCCAAGCTGATATTACAACCACACTCAATAACGTGTGGCTCTTCTAGAGCTGCTGCGGAGGGAGGGGTTAATGGTAACAGGATAGAGAAAGGTTGCAGTATTGGAGGAAAGCCAAATTGTGCTAGAGTGAGTCCACTGCTACCCTCCTCTCCCCTCTGCCCACCCTGCGCCCCTGACCCTCGCTCTGCCTTAGTCAGATTTAGATGCCTTCTTCTGTGCTCGAGAAGCCCCCGCGCACATCCTTATCAGAGCGCTTACCACACCAAGTTGTACTTCAGTTTCACTGCCTTTTTCCATGTTAAGAACGTGAGCTCTTTGACCTCTGGAACCTGTCTCATTCCCCATGGTGTCCTTGACGGGCATCTAGCACTGTGCCTGGTACATAATGGATGCTTGTGACCCACTGAATGCTCACTAACTCCTGGGAACCCACTGTAGAGTGCCTGACTGGCTGCTACTTGTCTCCTGGGTATTGCTGAAGGCCTCTTGACTTTGTCTGGCATCACAACTTACAGCGGGGCTTCCTATCACACGTCCGCAGTCACAACACTAGGATTTCCCCGGAGGAGCAGTTCGACTTAGAAAATAAGCAAACTGATGTAGTAGGTGTGGGCATGCACATTTCTTATGATAAATTCACCCCAACTTCCTAGCTCCCTAAACTTTTGATTCTTCTCCTGCACCATGCTAGGGATGCTCTGACACCACAGTGCCATGAAAGGTAAGGCCAAGTCTCACCAACAGACAAGTAAACTGATAGAGAGCTACTTGCAGCCTTAAAACAAACATGGAACCCAGAACATCTGACGAGCACACCCGTATGATTAAATTTGGCTCAGCTCAGTGTTATATTCCATCCTCTTTGGTTTAACACCCTTAGGATTTCCCCCCACACATATTCTCCAAGTTTCTGGCAGTATATATTTTCAAAACCTTGCAAGTCTCTTGATGTATAGGCTGCTTCTTCCTGAGTCATGCTTTCTACTTGTACCTCCTGGAACATGTTGAGATCTGAGCTTCGTTACGTGTCTTGAGACAACAACAGATGAGAATGCATCTTCAGGAGAATGACTGTCCACTTGTGAGACAACTACTTCAGGGGAGGTTGGGGCAGTGTTCCTGTCAAGGAAGGCTCATCTCTTCAGACTCGGAGGAAGAGCTGCTTTCCACTCACCAGGGAGGCTCACAGTAACTCAGGGATTCATATTCTCAGCTCTGTTTGGCGACAACCAGATGGCCCATTCCGTGTTTCCGAGGTCCACTCCTTTGCAGTCAATGCCCCAGCTTTCACGTGACAGCTTGGTAAGGCTGTGAATTCATGTGGTGTTCTAATTTTGCAGTCTACACAATTAAATTTGTGTTTGATTTCCAGCAGTATAAGCCCTGTGACAATTAGAAACAGGTGATACTTTCAGGGCTACGCTAGAAGTGCTCCGACCATGACTTGAGCTGAGAGTTTCAAGACCTGAGCTGCTCGTTTTCTTTCTGTAAAGGCTCCCAATGTATTCAGGGGAATCCATCCCACATCACAATCCATATAGTAGTTGTTACGGCCATAATGGTCAACTGAAGGAGCCACAAACATCACAGTCATCTTCAGGGATAATCTGATTCATCTGGATACCACTGCAAGCCACCAATTAGGATCATACCGTGTCCCACTGGTAGAGGAGCTCAACACTGCTTTTGAGCCCAAGGCAGGACCAAACCATTTCTTCAATCCCATTTTTGAGGGTCAGTTTCCTGGGATTATTCTTGGCATGAATAGCTGAAGAGAGACACCACAGAAGAGAATATAATTAGGTATGGATTTTTAATTCTGAATTAGGTATGAAGTTGTGAAAATACTATTCTGAGGTGTCAAGTAGGCATCGAACGTGGGAAATACCTACCACAGAGTCTAGGGCTGAGAGAACAGAGGGAAGGGATTGGAATTAGTAAAATGTAATAATTTCGAGGCGGGGTCCTGCAGAAATGAAACAGGACTTCTGAGAGACACGGGCCAGCTGGAGCTGATGCCTCTGAGCTCTGGAGAAAGACTTCATGCCCCCGAGGAAAGGGCTGCAAGTCCCTTCTTCCTCCAACCATCCAGGCTTCCTTTATCGCCTCCTGTTTACAGAATACAGCCTGCAGCCAGCTGGCAAAACCACGCTGTGGTTTGCAGAGTTCCAGTGCCAGCATGACAAAGCAGAGAAGGGGAGATTTGGAGCAAAGAGTCAGTAACCTAATAAGTAGCACATTTACCTTCCATTCTGACTTCAGCCAAATGGATCCATGGCTCTGCAAGAACCCAAGAGTCTCCCGGAATAGTTTTATTCCTTTGGTTTCACAGAGGGGAGGAACACAAGCTGGTCTTCCCTTTCTGGGTGCTGAACTGGACTGGAGAGATTTTACCCGAGAAGCAGAGATAACCCATACCAGCCAGGCTCACACCCTCCCTGATGCATATTCTCCCCAAGGATCCTAAGGAGGGGAAAAAACCAGCCAGGCTTGATCCTTTATATTTTTCTTGCTCATCCGGTGGGTTTACAGAATAATAATGGTTCCTTTGGAGTGTTTCAGGAAGACCATCACATGTGCCTTGTGATCCATATTCTTTGATATCGTCTCTCTTAAGAGTCTCAGTTTTTCTATGAAGTTTTTATTACCATGAATGGATTCTTTTTCATACTCTGTGCTATTTTTTTATTTTCCCTCTCTTCCCTCTCCTTCTCTACTTCCTCTTTAGCTCAGATCTGATTCTTGTCTAGGTGTTTCTACGGAATCCTCAGTAGTTCTTACGTTTTCTGCCTGTATGAAATGATTGAGCGAAAGAGACAACTGTTACCTTGGAGAAACCTCTGGGAGAGAAGTCCGCTCCTGACTTTTCTGAAGGCTGTATAAAAATCTATTCAAAAGTTAGAATCTCTAGGCTGCAGTTTTCTCTCCCATGAGATGAAGAAATTAGACAGTGTAATTCCTAATATTGCTTGATTTTCTAACATGGTACAACTCTGGAACTTTGAGAGAGTTTTCAGGATTGGGGACTACTGGTCTAACAAATACTGTTCACATGGAAGGGAAAAAAAAAGATCTTTCACTTAGACAAACCCCATAGAGAAAATGACCGTTGTTTAAGTAGTAAGACTCTTCTGGGTGCCTGGGTGGCTTAGTTGGTTGAGTGTCTGACTTCGGCTTAGGTCATGATCTCCCGGTTCGTGGGTTCGAGCCCCACATCGGACTCTGTGCTGACAGCTCAAAGCCTGGAGGCGCTTCGAATTCTGTCTCCCTCTTTCTCTCTCTGCTCTTCCCCTGCTTGTATTCTCTCTCTCTCTCTCTCTCTCAAAAATAAATAAACTTGGGGCGCCTGGGTGGCGCAGTCGGTTAAGCGTCCGACTTCAGCCAGGTCACGATCTCGCGGTCCGTGAGTTCGAGCCCCGCGTCGGGCTCTGGGCTGATGGCTCGGAGCCTGGAGCCTGTTTCCGATTCTGTGTCTCCCTCTCTCTCTGCCCCTCCCCCGTTCATGCTCTGTCTCTCTCTGTCCCAAAAATAAATAAAAAACGTTGAAAAAAAAATTTAAAAAATAAATAAATAAATAAATAAACTTAACAGCAAACAAGTAACAAGACTCTTCCACAATGAAGACTTTTTGTGACTCTCAATATCTAATGATCCTGAGTTCTGAGATTACGGTGGACTTTTTATCCAGGGCAGAAATTTGAAATAGGTATGATAGTTGTCATCTCTTGACTTTTAAAGTGAAAAGAGGACAATCTACATTGCCAATTACTACGGGTTTACTAACTGTGGAATTTATCTCTGGAGTTAAAAGTCCCTTGGGGCGCCTGGGTGGCTCAGTCGGTTAAGTGTCCAACTTTGGCTCAGGTCATGATCTCACGGTTTGTGAGTTCGAGCCCCGCGTCGGGCTCTGTGCTGACAGCTCAGAGCCTGGAGCCTGCTTCAGATTCTGTGTCTCCCTCTCTCTGTGCCCCTCTCCGACTCATGCTCTGTCTCTCTCTGTCTCGGAAATAAATAAACATTAAAAAAAATTTTTAAAAAAGTCCCTTACAAAAGGAGATGGAGTTGGAGGTGAAGGTTTTCTTGGGGCCAAAGTACAAGACATATCTCTATGTCAGCTTAGGGCTGAGGTCAGGGACAGAAGATTGAGACAATAAGCCTGGAAGCACTGTTTTGTGGAGCAATTAGGCTGCAGCATCTGTCGTTCTATTGATCTCTTGGATTGATTCCATCTAGCCGGTGGGCCAGGCCAATGGCCCCTGACTACCTCACCTCTGTCAGTATATGATTTGGAGGGTATTCTGTGTAGAAGAGACCCTTTTTTTAGTGAAGCTTATTCATGTGTTAGCACCCCAGGTCCTCTTCAAGGAGAGCAGCAGTAATATACTTAGTGTTGTTTTCCCAAGAGAAATAGATGTGTCTCATAAATTTCAGTGATTCACTCGTCCATCCATCCATCCATCTGTCCGCACAGTGAATATTCAGTGAGCATCTATCCTAGACCAGGCACTGTGCAGGTGCTGGTGAATCAGTCCCGGACAAGCCAGATATGCCTCAGTCCTCATGGAGCTTAAAGCCTCTCCCATCTTAAATTTCTGATCCTCACTTGTTGTTCTTTTCCTCTCCTTCTACTTCTCAAGCCTCCAAAAGATTCAAGCATATTTTTTGTCATAATTGGAAGCTTTCTTTTTTCAACAGGTTAAAAATTACGTAGTACAAATCTTAGCGAAAACAGTCACAGGGGTTTGTTGACCGTGATGTACTTTAAATGCTTTTTTAAGGTCCCCTACTGGGATTTTTAGATTCCTTTGAGCGAAGCCTTTGCCCTATTGGAGTAGGTGGGCTTTGCTGGCCTTTTATGTGCACTGCAGTGTGCAGCTGCCTCCCTCACCCTCAGTACACTTGTTTCCTCTGTGAAATTTTCTTGTCTTTGAATTTCTTTTCTGTCATACTGCATAAGATGGAGACCGGAAATCATGGGAGAACTGCTTCATGTGACTTTATAACTCAAGAAAAAGGCAAGAGAGGAAATTGCTTTTAATAATAATGCTAATAATTATGAAGAACAATATTTATTATTAAGCACCAGGCAGTTTGTCTAGCATTTCTAGTGAGGTATGTATTCAGTTTCCCAGAACAATATCTTCTTTATTGAAAGCTGATAAAAGAATCTGCAAATTGCGAGGGCTGCGACGTGTATATTTGACTCATTGTTCCTTTAACCCATTTTTTTTCTTGATTAATACCTTACAAGTCACTCTGGATCAACCTCAAATTCTTTCAAAGATTTAAAGCTATTTTTATAACGTAAGACATCTATAGCTTCTTTTCAAGTTCAGTATTTGGCGGTGTTCTGGCATAAGCCTTCCAGAAACGTATTGTCATTTCAAAGTGGCCCTTTTCAGAGCCTTGACTGCTGCAGAAATTCAGCTTATTATGAATCCTTTAAATGAATAACACTTGGGGCGCCTGGGTGGCGCAGTCGGTTAAGCGTCCGACTTCAGCCAGGTCACGATCTCGCGGTCTGTGAGTTCGAGCCCCGCGTCAGGCTCTGGGCTGATGGCTCAGAGCCTGGAGCCTGTTTCCGATTCTGTGTCTCCCTCTCTCTCTGCCCCTCCCCCGTTCATGCTCTGTCTCTCTCTGTCCCAAAAATAAATAAAAACGTTGAAAAAAAAAAATTAAATGAATAACACTTATTGCTAGTCATTTGCTAGTTAAAAAACATCTATATGATAAACCTCAAGGATGCCAGGTGCTGATATGTGGATTTTAAACATACCATAGTGTGCTATGCTTTAAAAATACCACAGAGTTCAGAATCTAATTCAGTGGGTAGAAATCTCTACTTCAAAAATGGCTCTTTTCATGATTAGCTTTTGCGATTCTATTTTATAGTATCACAGAAGCCTCTTGAAATATCAGATCTCTTTAGTGGGGCTTCAAACATGAATCGTGTGTTGAGGTGTAGGCCTTTCTAGATGTCCTAAGATACTACCTTTCCTTAAAAGGGCCTCCTATGCCTATAATTGAGGCAGCTACAGAGTGGGGTTAGGCAGTCCTTTAGAAATCTCATTCCAGAGTAGTATATCTATATTCTTTTTCTTAAATTTCTACAACAAATATATACTTCTGGTAGATGAGCGTAGTTCTGAAATTGGGCCACTACCCTTTACCCAATCAGGCAATCTTAGGACTCTTAAACTGTGTGTGTGTGTGTGTGTGTGTGTGGTATGTGGTATGTGTGTGTGCACGTATTCTGGGAATTTTCAAACACACACAAAAGTAGATAGACCAAAATGACCTTCTGTGTTACTATATTTTTACTCATTATCAACATTTTGCTAATCTTGTTTCATCTATTAACCCATTTTTTTCTTAGGGCGTTTAAACTAAGTTCCAGATGTATTTTTTACCCATAAATACGTAAACGCATTTCCTAGATTTTTTTTTTATTTAAAACAATTTTTTTTTAATGTTTATATATTTTTGAGAGAGAGGCAGAGCGTGAGCAGATGAGAGGCAGAGAGAGAGGGAGACACAGAATCTGAAACAGCCTCCGGGCTCTGGACTGTTAGCACAGAGCCTGACGCAGGGCTTGAACCCATGAACCAACTGTGAGATCATGACCTGAGCCGAAGTCGGACACTTAACTGACTGAGCCACCCAGGCGCCCCATTTTTAACGTTAAAAATTTGAGATAAAAAAAATGTTAAGTGTATTTTTATTTTTGTTTTGTGTCTGAAATTAGCATTGTTCCATTCCGACTGGCTTTGTTCCATGTTGATAAGTTCAGTTTTCCTGGGTTCACTTTTGTGTCTCCTTAAACTGCCACCAAAACTACTTTGTTCTTGTCACAGCCAGCAGTTGTATAGTGGTCCCTTTATAAACACTGCATGGCAACTGCATAGTTTATGTGTATGCATAAGTGATTTTAAACCTTTCTCTCATTGACTATTTCTCTTTCTTGGTAATCAGATCATTAGTTGTAAGATTCTTACTTTAGGCATGAATCATCCCTTTCCTATTACAAGCTCTGTGACTTATGAGGGAACAGAGTGGGTATGTTGAGTATAGATTAGTAAAAGAAAACTGGATCGTTTGGATAGACCAAGGCAAGCATGATTTGGATTTTATTGGAGTTAAGAATTCTTCCCCTTCACAATGTAGGCCCATGTGTGTTTGCGCTCAGAAACCAGGATAAGGTGGCTAGCTTTAAAAACATAAATACAAGAGTAAGGACATTTTTGATAGTTTCTGCTTTACTTCTATTGCTTATATGCTCAAACCCTTCATAATACCATTGGCCCTGATTCAGTGACTGATGCTCTTTCCAGCGGAACTCCCCCCTCCATATACAGCCATCGCCAGTCCTGATGCCACTGGTATTCCAGTAATTAACTGCCGCGTGTGCCAGTCTCTCATCAACTTGGATGGCAAGCTTCACCAGCATGTGGTTAAGTGCACAGTTTGCAATGAAGCTACGGTAAGTGGGGGTTTCCATTAATAAAGCATAAATTATTGTCTGACATCTTCTGTCTAAAGGAAGTACTCCACTAATGTTACTTAAAGGTAGACGTGCACTGGATAGAGATACAACCATATTTTCTCATCCTTTCTTTCTTCTCTCTACTCCTCTTTTATCATACAAAGATGTGCCCAGGTATTTAAGGTTAATTCCATTATGAAAATTTCATGGTGAATTTAAGCATAATGCCATCTGGCTCTTTACTTTCTAACATGAGACTGACCCTCTACAGATGTTTACAATTGTCCTCAGTGTCTATCCACGTCACAACTAAATCCATTTTGATTTTCAAAAAAATGAGGATATATATATATATATATATATATAT